CATTTTTCAGATGAGGAAACTGAACTACACAGAAGCTGACTTGCCCAAGCTCACACTGCTAGCAAAGCAGTGGAACTGGGATTCAAATCCCTGTCTCTGAACCATTATGTTGGCATGTGAGAAATTTTCTGAAGATTAGTGAAACAAATCAGAGAATGGTCAGTATAATTACCAACAATAAGTTATTCATAAACATCAGTCATTATCATTAATTAGCAACAGGCATGTGAAAATTATCCTCATACAATATAGGCAAATATTAAATCCTGATAAAGAATTTTATTCATCCTTTCATGGCTTTTGCTTATGAACAATTTATAAGAAGCCAATTCTGCAGCTACAGACAAACTCTAAAATGTCATTTAGAAACTCTTTTTAAAAAAAAACACAAAATGTCCCTTAATCTTCCAGGAACTAAATCATGTATAGAATGTAAACAACAATAAAATTAGATTACTATGTTTCTATTGACAACAGAGTATTTGACCACAAATATATAAATGTAGCCTTTAAAATGCAGCCTCAAACCATAATTTCATACACATTCACTCCAGTTTACATATTTCTTGTAAAAAAGATTTTCTTAAAAATACTCTGGATATAACTGTATTTCACCAAATTAAAATTACAGTGAGGAAAACAAATTCAGATAATTTGTTACTGTTCTAAGCTTTGTAAAAAGGATAAAACAACTTTAAAATAGCCTCTGATCATACAAATTTGTAAAATTGAATTAAGCTATCATCCTAAAATATGCAAAACAATTAAATACATTTTAAAATGCAGAAAATTAAGCCACTTCATCCAAGATTGTATTTCTTATCATCTTAGAAATCTGATCTACCAATTCAAAATTACTATTTGAATTACCATCAGAATTCCTGAAACCCTTTTTGTAGTGAAGATTCCAATTGCATCTGGTTTTAAGTCACTTAAAGGCAAATTCATCTACTTTATGACAAGTTTAAGCTTTTGAGTTTGAATCTAAATTTACAAGAGAAAACTTAGAGCTCTTAGTTCCACTTGCTCACACCTCTTTTTTGCCCTTCCCCACTCCTCATCCCCAGACAACCAAAAATAAACACTCAAAGCAGCAATATATGAACTGACCAATCTTAGGCTCCCACAGACTTAAAACAACCAGAGAAAACAAAGATGGAAAGCATCACTGCTTTGCAAACAAAGCCTTAATTAAGTGCGTAAATAAAAATCCTTTTACTGCTACAGCCTTGAGTCCTTTTGAAGGAAGATTTCCCAACTACTTCTCACACTTACACAAAACAAAGATCAACTTGAAGCCTTTAACAAATAGAGGCTTGGACACAGACTCACACACTAGAAATCCATTCAGATTTGATGCTTTAGTAATGATCTAATAGGAGCCTCACCACCAAACAGCTGATGTCTTCAAAATTATGCTTTAACAATCTCTATAATTAGAAATTTTGATTGTATCCTGTATTACTGCCCCAAAACACAGGAAAAACAGTTAAAACAAAGCCACATGGGTGTTTTCATAACCATCCGTTAGTATCTTTCAGTTCAGGCTCTGATTGGTTAATGGTAACTCAAATACGTATTAATTCATTTGGAAACATCCCTTCTAACGGTGGTTTTCTCATTTCAAGTTAAGCATTCATTTATACTGTGATTTTTGTATTTTCATCTATAAATGCTTTATATTTCAAAGATTTATAAACTGGGGGAAACCAATGGTTAACAGCAACAATAATAATTCACAGAAGAGTCTGGAAAAGAATAAAAAAACATGAACACTTAAAAGTTGAAATATGAAACATTCAAACAACTAACTGAAGAACATTTCATCTAAGAAATAAAAAAGCACCGTATTTGAGGCTGTAGCTCAGTGTCTTTCTGTCTTTATCCCTTAGATGAACCATGAAAATAGGCCCTAGCCTGTGAGTACAGAGCCTACAAACATTGAGTCTTATGATAATTTGGCAGCAGACTTAAGAAGAAACTTAATATTCTCTGCCTCTCCATTCCATTCCCTTCTTGTTTGTTCTTCAGATGAAGTTATGGTTTATGATACAGGAGATTTTCGTGTTTTCTTAGCCTCATTATAGGGACAAGTGGTGGCAGGAAGTAAAAAATGGCACGGAGTGAGTGAAGATAACCCATATAAGTGCAGGCACAGCCAACTGTGTAATCTAAATGGAAGTTTTGTTGACCTGATTAAGGAGACTAATTTTAATTGGGCTGCAGTGAAGTCACTTAAATATAAATCATGGCATATATAGCTAGAAATATTTATTTTGTAGTTACGAAAGTGATTGGTATTTTAAACACTCTTAAAATTTAATGAATTTCTCATTTTTCATTCTTTCAATTCACTGGTAGACACTGCTGGTTTCAAAATAAACAGGATTTCAAAGAATGAATAGGAAAATCTACAACGAATATATCCCAGGGAAGCCTGCCAGAGGTCAAGAATTCACTAATTTTAAGCTTGACTCCTCTAGTGGTGACTGAGAGGAATGAAACAATGCATTATGGAACATGTAAGGAGCATTATAAGTGAATTCACAAACTTAATAACTCAGAACTTTCCAATACTGTTTGCCTCTCAATGGGCACATACCATGGATTGTGAGGGAAATTTGGGTCCATATTTTCAAACTATATACTAACATGAAACTGACTGTCCCAGATTGACTAAAATTCCATTTACTCTTTGGATGATTTACAGATAACTTCTAACTCCATTTTTTAACTACCAGAACCCTTGCAAAACACACCAAAGAAGACTGCCTGAAAAAAAAGGTGAGTAATTGTGTAGTTGTCTGATATTATGTCTTGTGTATTGTCTTTTCCAAGATGTAAACGAATTCATTTCTAAGACAAAAGATTCATTTCCAAGATATAATTATGATTTTTTTAAAGATAAGGAATAATTTCTAATTGTTGCCCATATTGAATGGCACAACAAATTATACAACTAAAATATTTTATTTTGAACTATTTAAGTTATGTAAAAAATCTCATAAAATACATATTTCTGCATACAAATGTGATGGCAAACTATTAAATGTAAATACTCAAAAATGTATTACTATTCCATTTACCCTTAAAAAACAAGCCACACATCATTCATTCAAAGTCAGCCAAGGGGGTGGGCACCAACACATACTCCACTTCAATACTGCATGATGCTTATTTTGTAGGAAATGACTTGCCAATAAATGGTGACAAAATGAAAATGTCTTACCCCTCTTTTATGTCTTCATACATAAGAAAATTGACTATCATTATAATTACTTTTACCAGTATGAATTGGTATATTTCAATTAAGCAAAACAATTTAACATATTTAATCTTCTTATGTTTTAAGTTACTTTAAAAGATTCTCTTATTTGGACTTTTCAGTGATGAGAGTGACTGGTTAAGGTTTGCACCTCTGACTTCCCCTGACATTCCTGTTAGTGGCTGCCTGCACAATGACACTGGCATGGGGCCTGACAGCACAGGAACCAGCAGTGGTCTGTGTGACTGCATACGCGGTCTACACTGGGTAGCAGCCATATGTCCACCTCAAGCCAACTTCCAAAGGAGAGGAAAAAGGACGCCTTGCTTTTTTATTTGCTCTACAAAATGTACTTAAATGCTAGAATTACTTTCCTCTAATTTAAATTTCTTTTTGATTACCTACTAAAATGGGCTTAAAAGAGTTTCAGATGAAAAGACACTTTATCCAGAGATTAATTTTTGCTACATCAGCAAAGTTTCAACCTTTGACAGTGACCATGTCCCATAAACATTGGTAATTAATATATTTACTCAGAAAGGAAAATATAGACTGTTTACATATTAAAAACAATCACTGTGGGTATAAAAATTAAGATGCTTCATATCTGTAAAAACTGATTTTATATTTTTCTATTATCATAAATTCCATAACCTTACTAGTTTCAAAAGGCTTCGCTAGTTACATACTGGAATACTGCATCAAACAAACAATTCGTGGCATTTAGTTTTGGTTTACTTTTCAGAACTATGATAAAAGATTATTGTGGTGGTTGGGAAATGGTTATTAAGAGTTTTGAGTATGGATGGAATTCTAACATGGATATCATTGAACTTCTAATAAAACTTATACTATAAGTTCATCAAGGTCCTGAGCCTTAGTAAAGAGTAAATCACTAAAAATATCACCTATGAGGTAATTTTTCAATGGGCCAAAGTAGAAATAAATACATTGAGATATGTAACATCCTTCCATATACTGAAATTTAAAAAATATACATAGTACTTAAATAAATGTGCATAACAGCTAGCAATCCATACATATAGCCTTATTTATATTTTGAAACTTAAGTATATACGGATTAAAGTAGATATTTCTATTTACATAAAATTCACATAAAAATTCATAGGTATTAATTATACAAAAATAATGGTGACTATTATTCTTAAAGGATACTAATCTTGAAGTACATTAATTTTGTGTATCTTCCAAATGAGGTTCTATATTTGTAAACAACGTATTTTTAAACTTACAATTTAATAACACAAGAACACTAGGCACACAAATTATTTTGATATTTAGAAACAATCTAGTCCAATGTTACATTTAAACAAATTTGGTTATATTTAGTAACAAAAGGGAAAGTAAAATAAAGAAAATAATCCCAAATTTTCATTGTTCCTAGAGCAAAACAATGCAAAGTGATTACTTTGCTGTGGAGAATGATCAACATGGAGATAAAACACACTCAAAGGTTAAATGTTATGCACACACAGGTGTAATGTATATACATATGAATCTATGCAAAATAAAACCATTCTATGAAATATTATAAAAACCTAATAACCTGTAGCTCCCAACTAAGGATGAATACTAATTCGTAAGTCAAACCACCTACAGGGGAAATACAACAGTAGTTTCATGGATGTGACAACAGATATCATAACCACCTAATAAAGTGGATGCTGATGCAGAAACAATGTGCAAAGTAAACAGTGAGAAGGCAGACACTCACCTTCGGTGCCATTGGGAGTCATGGAATTACTATTTATATGAGAGTTATCGAGTTTGGGACCACTGGGGGATTCACTACTACCACTCAGACGGCTATGCGGGCTGGTTAGATCCTGCATTTCCATAGACCTAAAGACAAGAAGCCTTCCGTTTGACAGATGTACCAAATTCATAACACCACTGTTTAATGCGCTAATGACTTGACACCTTCTTTGAAACACATCGCACAAAAATCCCATTTTATCTATTTTCTTAGACTAAAATAGTTCTTACATTTTAACTTCAATCATCCTTTCATAACATATACTATTAAAAGGTATCATTTGCCTTACCTACCCAGCCAAACATTCCCATGGAGCTTTTAAAATTTCTTTTTTTTTCCTCATACATAGCTCAAGTCACAAGATCTAATGAGACAATTAGATCTATTTTAATTTTCAAAGAAGAAAAGGCTATTATGCTTTTCTTTATATTGAATTTTTTTAAAAAGGCAATTTTCTGAAAGAAAAGGCAGGTCATTATTTAAACAGGTATTAATTTAAAAAATTATTTTTCTATGGAACCTGTTTCATCTACTAAATTAGCAGTAGGTACTCCTTTATAATTTACCACCCAATTGTAATTTAATGGGTCTCCAAACCAAATAAAACACTTGAAGCCTATAGTCTAGTGACAGGGAATGAGATAGTCCTGATGCATGTGTTTACTCTGGCAAACTGCTTAATTGTTCCTCTGTTTCCCTTGAAACAAATGCAGCATTAAAACATTATGATGTCGGCTCACTTGTTTGCTTTGTGGATTACATACAGCGTGCCCAATTGAAAAGGGATAAAGCCAACATACAGTGGGTCCTTCCAGCATTAGCACTCAGAATACCTCAGCTGTCACTTACTCAGGGAAATAACAATTCTACTTCAATGCTCAAATTCTGCATCTTTACTCTATAAAAACAGTTAAATCCCCCCTGAAAGTTGTTAGACTCAGCAGTCCTATTCTATAAAAGGTACAGAAGCTAGGATTCATGTTCACAATTGCAGAACTTTCCATTTATATATAATACTTCATTAATGAAAAGAGGAGAGCATTTAAATGACTTAAAACACACCTAGGTACCATTCTGTTTTCTGACAGCCAAATTTTAGAAATTATAAGCCCATTCACTTGGTCTTAAACTTGTGTGTTTTTCGAAAGAAAAAAAAGGGGGGTGTTGGTGGAGGATGTTAATATTACATATACAAAACTACCACTGTTTGCTCCTCACCCCCACCAGGTCAGTAAAAGCTACGCATGTGTGTTTGGTGGTTGCACTGAAATTGACTGTAAATATCAATTTTTAAAACAGCTTCACATGAACCATTTTACTTCTAAAGTGAGTTTTTACTTCCCTCAACCAGAATTTAAACTAAAATTTAAAATCCAGTTCTCTCCTAATTCTCATTACACATTCACAGGTTTCCTAACACCAGAAACTATAGCCCATAATCATTTTCAAAACCAGGCTCCTATTCCCTTTCTACATACTTAATTTTTTTTTACAAGAGTACACACACACACAGGTTGTTAAGTAATTTCCAACCCAGGCGGTTGCTATTAATAGAAATAATTAAGAAATACTAGACAAAAATAGATATGGGTCACAGAAAGGTAATCTCCAAAATGCCAAATATCCTTACCTGCAACTTGAGGAAACAGCAACATCTGAACTGGTTTGAGATGGATGCACCTGTGATCAGGGGTAAAAAATTAGAAGCTGTTGTTACTCTACTTCAGTATCAGCTCTTAATTATACAGAGCACATGGCTGAGAACGACAATGCTCTCTTTTAACCAAAAGAGAAAGAGGAGGATACTGCAGCAGTGAAAGGCATATTGTCTTTAAGTTGAGGTCTCCACTGTTGTTTCCTCCTGCAGGTCTATCCTCCTCCGCCCCTTGTCAGGGGGGAAGGCAGCCAAATGACGGGATAGTGATTCATCACTGGCCTATGACAGCTGCAAACGGGATTACCCCTCCCCCAATCAACATGCAAAGCAGTCTTGCCCAGGCAGCCTGGAAAAGGTGCTTGGAAAAAATAGCTATTAGCAAAATGAGTGTGTTTCTCAGCAGTAGTTCAAGCATTAATCCTGCAGCATCCTCAGAAGATCTTTCATCTTCTGCTATCACCCGCTGAAACAGAGTTCCCACCCATCCCTTTGACTCCTGACAGTTTCTTATCTTTATCGTGACTGTTTCTCCTATATTTACTCTTTATCACATAACATTCACTGACACAGCTTCTGGACAACTTTCAGGCAACGCGGAACTATAGATGGCAAAGGCAAGTTTTCAAACTCAAAGTCACATCACTGAGCAATATGCTCATTTACCCGTGCAAATTCAAAATGCAGTGGACGCTTTTTTATCAGTGCCTGGTAAGACAGAAAACGTTAGCTATTTGTTTAACTTTCCATCTTTTAAACCAATAAAGGAATGGATAGTTGAATAATCATTTCAGCGCCCCAGCTAGCCAGCATTTCAGCGTCTTTTGTCTCCAGATGCATCTGTATTTCGGGACTTCACTGAACAGCTAACTTAACGAGCAGGCTTTGCTAGTCACTGCCCTTCCTCCAGAGGCAGCGAAACTGCCAGCAGGTGATAACTCAGGGGAGGGTGGGCTGCTGGCTTGCAAGCTCAGGCTACCGCTCACACAGTAAAGAACATTCTGCAAAACATTTTAAATTACTCCGAATTCCAAATCTTTGATGTGCATTTTCATTCAACCTGAACTGACATCAATTAGGGTTACAGAACAAAGATGAGAACTGAAGCATCTCAAATGGCATTAAAGTTATCCAACCAAATATCTTCTACTGAGTCCTGTTATTTTTTTAATTATGACTTATGAAATTAAGAAATACTATCTTTTTGGCCAAAAGTACTGTTAAACTCTAAATGTCTTGGTGCAATGTTATGTGAAATTTCTAGGTATATGTTTCTATATTTCGTGGAGGATGAAAAATAATTTAAGAGATGCCTGAGTATTCAGATGAAAACTTATTTTTAATGCCCACAGAGATGTCATTTTACCTTAACATGCTCCTGCAATTTTTGTTAAAATTAATGTTCTCACCCAAGATTAAATGTTTTCCTTTAGAAACTGCAGCCATATACCTCAAGGATAAATTTCCTTACCTCTCCCCACCTTTTTTCCCCCCACTCTGATACACCTGGAATAAATTATAGGTGAGAACTAACTTAGTTTTAAGAACTCTCTCAGTTTAATTATGTGAAAAAGTATTATGTGAAATGTTAAAATGTATTCTTATTTTAACATCAGTCAGATAGTATAATCTTGGAAATATAATTTTAACTTCACTGTATACCTTTAAAGTTTGATTATTTTTATACTTGAGGTTTAGCATTTCATACTTAAGTCTCAGAGTTGAACTGTTAATTAAAAAACGTACTCTAAGAATAATTCTAACACGTTTTCTCACTGTAAAAAAATGCATTTCCACAACAACCTATTTCTTTTATGCTGGTTTGACTCAGCCTCTACTGTACTTTCATACACTAAATTTTTGAAAGTCCATATCCATGGATCTTCATTTCATTAAGTATACTTCAGATATATTCTTTTGTGTCACAAGGATTATTTAAACCATGTGTTGTGTGTTACTGTATTTAAAAATGACTCTTTAATCAAAATAACTTTAAAACAACTAATCCTCACTTAGGCTGGTCAGCTGAATCCACATCGTGGTCCAGGAAAAATAAATCTACTCTCAAGAATGCGAATGCAGACAACAATTAGACACAGATGTGAGCAAAATTAGTTACAGTTTACAAAATGCTACACTTCACATGCTTTTAGTTTTTTATGTGTAGTACAAGATTACAGTGCAGTAAGGAAACATACTCTTATAATGACTTATCTAAAAAGAACACCTATATCTGATTGGTATTGATTTTCTCTCATGTTTGATAATACCTCTGGAAGTTTCTGTGTTTTAAAGGTCCAAAACCATAGTATGTTTCAGAAATAATTAATTAGGCATATTTAAAGCATATCTCCATTCAAAAGAGAAAAAATCATTTCATGGTTTTCAGAAAAAATGCTGTTAGGCATTCAGTAAGCGCACATTTTCTGCTTTGCATCCATAAACTTAATATGTTTCTTGTCTTCTAAACTGGTATTTTTAATTCAAATGTTCCTATGAGTGCAAAAATATTTCCCATAACATTATAAATGGTCATCTTACATTGCAATGAAGTCATTTCACTTTAATGCTTTTTAAAACCTTTGTATAGCATACCCATAGTAGCATATTAGCAGAGTTGTGAAAATACAAAGAGAAAAAAGAGCTTAGAATTTAAATTCAAGAATCCTAAACTAGTAACTTTGACTTCTGATTAGTTAATGAGGTCTTTTAAGTTTGCCTTTTTTCTAATTAAATTTATAATTCTTCACAGATGTAACTTTTGTTGATGTTCAATTTGTCTCTCTCATTTTGTTAAACCTCACATAGTACTTCGCCAATCCATTGAATAGCCACATTAAATCTGTTAATACCATGCTCTTCAACCCCAGAAATTATTTCCAGAAGGCAAACTTGCTTTGAGAGATCATCAAACAAGACTTAAGGTACACATTTTATCACATTTTCCCTACCACAGAGCTCAGGATGCAGAGCAAAATTCATGACTTTTGCACTGTTTATTATACTTTGCTAAATTACAAATCAAAAGCATCTGACAGAAGATCATGTATGAAGCCAAAAAGTTAATAATGTTCTGTGAAAAGTAAACTGTAAATGGAAAGGGATTCTAAATCTCAGCAGCACAGAGCAAATAAAATGTAGGTACTTGTCTAAATTATGGGTTTTCCATAGGCTTTTTTGCTTGCTAGAAGCAATTTTTATAAAATGACTATAATTCAAAACTTTTTTCAAACAAAAAAGAAATTTTCAAAGTGAAAGTACTGAACTTACCTAAATAAATACAGTTGGCAGGCAAGCTAGTTTTGCTCAGCCACAGATCAACTTGAGTACTCCCAAATTTGAAAGACAATGGCAATTTTCTAATCAGAATGTATTTTGTAGGGGACAAAATGTGCCTTTGGCATAAGTCTGCTTTTTAATCAAAATATATTCTTTGCTAAAATTCTCTTCAATCAATATTTCTAACTACAGTATCAATGCTGTAATAAAAATTTAAGCTTAAAATTGAAATGAACTTCTTGGAAGAGGCAGATGTCTTTTAAACATTAACACTTATTTCCTTCTTTAGCTAAGACACCAGAGGATGAATGTTTTAAGACTAGTACTGATTTTTAATGTAATACACTGCATTACTTTTTGAAGTATCTTGTTTAAAGAAAACAAAAAAATGGAGCCCCGTGAAAACAAGTATTGAACATTGATTCTACTTAGAGTTTTAAAAGATTGTTTTCAAAATGAACATTTAAAAATGTTGAATAAAGTACTCTTGATATCTGATTAAGTGGAAGAAGTGGTTTTATTCTGTGTTTTTCTTGTTCCCAATGTATTGTTACAAATTTTCACAAATGAAAATTTTGAAAAAAATAATTTATCATGTCTACGAAACTCACAGAGCAGTTGACTTGCCTTTGGCACTCTAATACTGAACAGGGGCTCAAGTAGGCTTCTCCGTCTGTCACCACGAAGAATTTTCAGGATTGAAAATCCATGGCTGCTTTGCTCACTTACTGACTTTGGGCCTTGGGTGAACTCAGGCAGCGAGAAAGTCAAATATCAAATATTTGATAATGCAAACCCCAAATGGTGGGTGAAAAGAATCACACAAGCCTAAAATAAAACTTACTCTGAAAAAGCCATTAAAAAAGCAATCCCAAACCTATAAAACTGTGCTATGTGCTTAACTACACTTTTTGTACCCTGTCATTTTAAGAAATGAAACATAAAAACACTTGTCCAAATTCAATGACAGGTCTGAATTTATTGAATTCTTGCAAAGGCTATGCTTAAATATGTTCAAAAACTCCTCCCAAGAAATATAACCCCATGAGTCATTAGTAATTCATATACTGAGTTTGAATGACAAACATTTTAAATGGTAATTCAAAAGTTTCAGAATTGTGTTTTTAATTTCAAGGTCCATTCAAGTCATATAAAGTGCCAATAAGTGAAAATATATTAATTTGACAAATGTTTATTATTTCACCTTTTGAAGACGAGCCTGCTTCATGTTTAGGAAATTCGTTTTGGAAGCAAAAGGATTTCCTTTCTTAAAAGTGGTATCAATTTATTTTTGTTATCTGTTGTCCTTTCAAAATGTTAATTCCTTCCTCATTTTCTCATTATCAACCTAAAGTAGGAAAAGTTATCTATGTGTTGTGATGGCGATTAGATCTATGTGTATATATCGCTTTATTCCATACCCCACAGTAACATTTGAGGTGTGTAGCAATTCAGAAATTAGATATGAAGTAATCTCCCTACAAGACTATAGCCGTGTATTACACTTATTTAAATAGATCACAAGTAATTGTTAACAATATGTAATTATTTCTTAATGATACTAATCGCTCAGATAATTTGGGGGTTAAGAATTATGCTATGCTGGAACGCCATGCCTAAAAAAGGACTAGGTACTAGTACTTCCCCATGCTCTCCTGTTTTTATCTTAAAACAAACCAAAACAAGACTAAAAGCGCCTCTGTTATCCTGTGCTTTGCCCATAGGACAGCTGTTGTCAGTCACTGCAATTTTTCAAACGGTCAGCTTGTACTTACAGCGCTTACATCTGCTGCATCCACCAGCTTAATGTGCTCCTTGGAATTTTCTGGTTGCGCCCACCTCCATCCCGTAGGTAGGTTTGCCCTGGGTTAGGCCGCGGGAGGGCTTTCAGGGGCTCAGAGCCGAGCCCGGCGCGCCTCCGCGGAGGAAGCCCGGCCGCGGGGACGGCCGCCTGGCCGCCGCTGCAGGCTCGCGCTGCCGAGCCACTGAGCGAAAGCGCTTTCTTCAGCAAGGAGCCCGCCACAGTGCACGGCAACAGGAAGGCTTAAAGTCGGAAGTGGCACTGGAGAGTTTCTACCTCGCCCCAAACTCGGAGCCATCAGCTCCCACCGTTCTGTGTAATGACCGCTTTGAGCCCTGTGCTCTTTCCCCACCAAACAGCAGTCGCAGATAGCATCTGAGAACTCTAGACAAAGAAACAGCAGAATCTCATCCCTCGATTTGTTTGCGCAGCCTTGTAGGTCTGCCCGTGGAGCCTCGGGGCTTTTTTTGTTTTTGCAACGCAAACCACAGCTATTCTCTTGTCCTAATCTTATTGGTTTCAATGCAACAATTGCAAGGAGCACTGCTCCGTCTGACTCAACCTTGCTGCTTAAAAAAAAAATTATTATGTAAATGAACGCGCCCCACGCTATCTGAATCAACAGCTGTGTGAGAGTAACTTCTCGAAGGCACTGTCAACACACATCTCTTGCTACAGCAGCTACCAATTACGAGCTTTGGGGAGTAGTTAGTTACGCGTTATCTTTTATACTTTTTCAAACTTTTTTTCAGGCCCTGAAACTTGGGGAATCAATACTTCCAAAAAACTTTTTTCCGAATGTTCCAGCTAACAGGTCTGCGGAAAACAAAAGCCAGAATGGCCATTTCCATGTTAAGTAAAAACAGGTCGAAAAAAGCAAACGTGTAAGCTATTATCAGTTTAACAGTGAAAGCATGAATGATGATTCTTCAATGATTTCTAGGTGGCAAGTTTTACATGAACAGTCAGTGTTAATAGTTTTAAATGATTTCTGGGAAAGGTTTGTTTTATCTACAACTCTTTACTCTGTCCTTTAAAAAAACTAAACTCAGATTCTACACATGATAATCTGTAATACTCACCTAGAGAACTGAGCTTTCACATTATGACTAAATTACAACTTCAGTTTAAGATATTTACTTACTACCATATTTTAGGCAAATAAATGACTTCATTATTAGATCAATGACTTAACCATTATATTGATTTCAAATATTTAAATAAAGCACTTATTGATCATTATATTTTCATTTGCCAACCTTATGCCATAGTTGAAATACAAATGTTTATTTTGATACTACTTACTCATCCTAATCAATTTTGTACTCTAAAATAAAATCTTTATGCTCATTGGATTTTCCTTAAAACTGGTTTGTCATTACTGATAATACTATTTTATGCATTTAGTCTTTTCATCAGTAATAAAAAGCATCTTTTCTTAAAGGCCTTGGTATGAAAGAACATTTTTAAAAGCACAGTAACCTCTTAAATGATTTTATAATACATTTCCAGATCACCAACTAATAAGATAGACACAGTCTTACCTTGACTTTGTTAATTTGGAAATTGAATGCACCATTCCAAGGCAAACAAAACCAAAAGCTTCTAATGACCAAAATTCAATATGGACTTCTCCCCTTCTCCCCCCTGAAAGGATGCCAATCTAAATTCCTCAAAAAGAACACTTTGTCAAACCTAAGAAACAGTTTAAACTGCAAACTCACCTAGGATTTCATTTTGTATGGTACCGGCAAGCAATCATGGCTAGTCATCTGCCATATTTGGGAAGCTAGGTCAAAAATCAGTTGATTGCTATTGGATCTGTTCATATATGCAGCAGAAATAGAATTACATTACCACCTACAGCATTTTCTCAGACCAGAAGTTTCAGTTATTCAATATACTGAAGTATATATGCAGAAAATAAGACACAGCAAATAATGGAGGTTTCTAGTGCCGTGAGATAAAATGCAATGCTATGTTAATTCAATCTGTGATGTCAAACACCCACATAGTAACTGCTTTTGCTATCGTATTTATTTCTAAGCTCCATAAAATATAAAATTTGAGATGCTGATTGGAGAATTCAACCCTGTTTGAAAATTTACATCAAGCTATTGTAACCAGGCTTACTATAGTTTAAAAATTATTTTGGATATAAAAGGGTAAAACATTATTTTTCTGATCCATGAAAGATTATATTGGCAAACCAGAACACACAAACTATATGAAGTCAAAACAGCTGGAATATTATGTAAAGTACCTGACTTATATATATAAATTACTTGCCTACATTATAATCAAATTTATCATATTACATTAGTTTTTATATTGAAATTCAATTATTTTTTATTTATATAACCAAACAAGATACCATTAAAGAAATGATGCATGTAATTATGATGAAAATTCTGAAAAGTATGATGAATGTAATGTGACCACTAATTGATATGATATAGGTCATGCTTCATAATTATGTAACAAAGAGCTTCGCCATTGGCTAAAGGAAATACCTATGTGCCTGTATAGTACTGTTAAATGGTTTCCTTTTCCTAAAGCAAAATTAGACGGATTAAAAACAATTACATAAATTTTGTTTGGATACCACTTCTGAATATGAAATATGTAGTAATTAACATGCAACTTACACAAAGAAAATTTATTCTCTGATAAACAGCCAAAATGTAAGCTGTTACTAATAAGACCCAGGTTGTAGTAGAGTTAGCTTCCTATTTCTAAATTTTTGCCAACTACAATTATGAAATTTAACCATATACTTTAAGGAACAAGGTGTTCTCAAAATAAAGTCAAATTCATTACAACAGAAATTAGGACAATTTGCTGAAAATTTGCTGTTAGTAAGGACAGGCAATAGTTGAAAACATTTCCACCTAATATATCCTGCAGAAATTTCAACACATAAACATATGAATAGGAGTAAAAATAATTCTAATATGCTTTTCCACCACTAAAACAAAAAGTAAATATATAATTTTATCTGGAAAAGGAAAGCACTTGAAATAGCCAACTGTAACAAAATGTTTAAATATTCTCAAAGAGACAGTATCTTTCATATATTGTATCTCCAGATAGGTTTTATCTTACAAAGCAAGCTGTTGCCTAGATATGTGCCTGGTTATCTAGAAGTCTGCAATTTTGATGGAAGTTGTTACTGTTGTTCAGTTAACAAAGAATTTTAAATAAAGGCATGATTACAAAAATAAATATCCCTAATTAAAAAAAAGGGAAGGGCAGATGTAAAGGATTCATTACAATAATCAACAAGGTAACTTGGAACTTTTCTAAAACTAGATGAGTTAACAGTTGATTAATCAAATATAACAAACACTGAGAAAACAGAGGACTGAATACAAATGTCCTTTTCTTTTTTCCATTCCAGTAATGATAATAAAATTCTTAAGTAGTTGTGAAATTTCTAATAAAAGATGTATTCAGAAGTTATTTTTCCTCTGTGTTTACCTTTAAATAATTTTAGAATTAAGTATGCATGCTAAATACCTGACTCAGTGTCAACCATCTCTTATCTGTTTCTATCATTCTTATGAGATTATGTCTCAAAAATAATGATACATTAAGTACGAAAATATAATTAGTACTTAAAGACCACTGCTTTTTCTTCAAAAGCAAAATCCCAGTTATTTTTTTCCACATTCTTAAAATCAATAATCTCTAGAAATAGCCTCTTGAGATTCAAACTGTTCAAAGCAGAATGGCCAATATAGCCCTCAAAGATACTGTCCTTCTTGTCCTTCCAGATAACTCTCTTTCTCATGGTCTGTGCCATGGTACTGTATTTCTGGCTTTTTTATGGAAGTGTTGGAACAATGTCTGGATGGCTGACATTGCAATCCCTGATGGCACTTGGAATGGTCACTTCCATGACCTACTCTTTCCCCACTGGCACGAGACCTGCAATGAGGGCTCTGCTCCCAGTAGCCTTTTGCTGAAATGCAACCAAGTAAAACATCCTCTATTTATTTTAAGAATGGTATTAAATCCACCAAACTGAATGTCTACCAGTATTTTGCTAAATGTTTTCCATTCAAACTGCAACATGAATAGCTTTTAACAGTAAATTTAAGGAGGCAATTACTAACTATTCACAGTACCATGGAAAATTGTTTTAATAAATATTATAGTCTTTATATGAACACAGTCTGGATATATAACCTATTTCCTGGCTTTCTAATAAGCACTGGTTATTAGATATGAATAATAACCATTTATTTATGTAGGGTGGGAAATTTGTCATATGTAGTAATGACTGCCTATAGGATGTTTTCTTAGAAAATTTTTCTTCTTAACAGAAACTTTGAGTAGCACTTCTTGAAACTAATAATGGTAACAAGGGCAGCAATAGATTTTTAAGAAAAGGAATGGGCTGATAGGGGTACTTTATCTAAGAAAAATAAGACAAATAAGACATATCAGATTTTCTATTTTGAAATCAACTGATTTTCCAAAATAGCAGAGTTACGTTTTCTCCTTCTGCCAAAAATATGTAAATAACTGGTCTGGTAAGCATATGCTTCATCTTAGTAATAAGGCATTTTGCTTTCTCATACTGCAAAATAGATTTCTGTTGACATGAAGCAACCTAGAAAACCCAGGTTGTCTTCTCTTCAACCTTTTTTTCTATAAGGCCTGGGCAAAACCAATCTTGTCAGCACCTCCCAATACATGTAAGAGGATCTGGGAATTTGCTTGTGTTCTCTAGGTTTCATGACAGCTGAGTTCACAGTTTTAAAATTCTTCAGAAATGATGATTTTCTCATGGAAGAAGGAAGGTATTTTGCCTTTATTGAGTGCCTACTATATGTCAGGCACTGTGCTATGCATTTTGGATATATTCATCACTTATTTTAACAAATAACAGTTATCTGTATGATTCCTATTTGTTTTTAAATATGTTCTTTTTCTCCCACTGTTTGTTCTGGAACCTGCCACATTTCTCTGGAAATATCAAAGTCACCACTAAACGGTAGATGGAGCACTGGGCCATGAATGTGTTCTGGTTGTAT